GAAGCAGATCCCACCCCCAGTCTGAACCATGGCCTTTTCATTCTCGTTCGCCGGCGATGATATAGAAGACGATGGTCGTCCGCTCACCCCTCCACCCCAAGTCAAGAAGTCAGCTGTGGCCTCGCCCGCGGGGGCCGGTGCATTTCCAGTTCAGGACAAGCCCCAATTACCACCAGCCAGCCATGATCTCGAGGACATGCTTTCGAAGCTACCCTCCAAGATAGCCTTCAACCTGCTCGGTGTCAATCTTCAGGATGGTAGCACACTCCAAATACCAAGGCGTGAGCTCTGGGATGTGCGGGCTCAGCTGATGGCTGAGGATGATGGGGAAAACCCATCTGAGTCAGAGGCTGGTCTTGGGGAGCACGACGTCAAGACGGGGATTTATGAGGGTGGCTTCAAGAGCTGGGAGAGCAGTGTTGATATGGTCAAGGTCTTGGCATCGGAAAAGCCGGCCGATTTTTTGAATCAAGAGCCGTGTGTCTTGATCGAGGTGCGGCGAAATATCTGACGTCCCTAAACCTCCTGCCGAGAAACGAATTGCTGACCAATGTGTACAGCTCGGCTGCGGCACGGCCTTGCCCTCTCTCGCACTCTTTCACTGGGCCTTGAGCGAAAGAAAGTCACAACCGAGACACCCGCTGGTGCTCACGCTTGCAGACTATAACCCCTCTGTGCTCTATCTGGTGACGTTGCCCAATCTCATCTTGGCCTGGGCTCTTCAGCAACGAAGCCGAGTAGCGCTCGTCGAAGAGGCTTTTACACCCGACGGAGAACTCGATCTGACACCGGAGATTATCGCGGCTTTCAAGGACTCTCTGGTTTCCAACCAGATCACTTTGAGATTTCTTTCTGGTGCTTGGTCACCAGAGTTTGTGGATATTCTCTACAGCTCACCGAATGCCCCAAGTCTTGCGGATAACACCAAGACTCTTGTGCTTGGTTCGGAGACTATTTATTCTCCTTTTGCCCTTGAAAGATTCGGCGAGACTCTTCTTCTGATTCTTGAGCGAGAGCGGAAAGACAGACCAAGCGGTTCTGCCAGAGCTGTCATTGGCGCAAAGAAGCTTTACTTTGGCGTTGGAGGCTCGCTGGATGATTTTGTAGAAAAGATGAGGGGCCTTGGGACAACAGTGAACAACCTGTTTGAGGAACGCACTGGTGTTGTCAGAGGCGTCGTCGACTGCCAGCTCTCATGACTGCCGACATTTGGGAGTACGAAACGTCGGTTGGATAGAAGTCACTGAATTCTGAACCTGGATATCTGCTGTTTGATCAACTCGGCCACGTTGAAAATTCAACTCGGGATATCCTCACACGGGAAGTTGGAAGCCGAGGTCGAATGATGTTCCAGGATTTTTCTTCCCGGAGTTGATTCAGAATCTAGCTGAGGCATCCGGTTGTGTGTTGCCGGAGGTTACACGGTTTATCCGCCAGCGAATTGTTTCCGACAGAGCCGCCTGATCTCACAACCACGGAATGATGCCGTTGAAAACCTACTCGGTGACAGCAACTTGCAACTCGAACCCGTTTTGCCGCACAGAGCTATCGCATACGAACATCCAGGAGCACAAGTAACCCCCGTGACCTTGATGGTAGTTCAACGCCACGATGGCATGTATACCAAGGTGGCACAAAGCCTCAGCATACAATTATCAGTCAATCGACTTTTTGATTGGTGTATCTTTCGCGGACTAGTCTCACCCTCAATACTTCCGAGGCCTTTGCCATTCTGCGAAGATTTTGTTTAGAGACGCTTGGAATACTACCTGACCTGTCTGATCTTGCATGGTGACTATCGTCAGGAGGCAAACCGGCCGCGCACTCAATCGCAGGCGCAGCCACACCCACCCAGCCCCGAGGAGACTCAATTTTTGACCGCACTAACAGAGTAGGTATCTGATGTATTCCTTTAATATATTCTGGTGTGACCACGCTGACCCGCGTTCAAGCGGCCTGTAGCGTCACTCGCATTCTCGTGTTACTATGGCGCTAAGACTTTGAATATGTGTAAGTTGGGATGGCGGCGCGATCACCGTGTAACGTCTGGCTGCATAGGTCACCAGTTCGCCATCATATCCATGGTTGCGAACGTCCAGATGCAGGCTGCCGTGGCCGTGGTGTGTGCCTTTTGACCCCGCAATGCACAAACCAAACTGCTCGGCAGGAGTGGCATGTGAGCCATATGCCCCCGTTCTAGACGTCGGGCTTCGTCATGCTGTGACATGCAATATCTCTGTAACTCGCATCGACATCATAACCTCTCGGTTGACCTGCGGTTGCGTTGCCCGGCATTTGAAGAAATACCAGAAATGGTCCCGAACTCCAGACATTGTTTTTCCGGATTCCAGATTCGAGACATGGTGAAGGGTTCTGGAAGGGGCAGTGATGTGCAATGACGACAATCTGGTCTGCAGCTCTGCAAGGAACCAAAAAACCCTGAAGGGGTCGCCGTGGAGCACAACCATCTGAAGCGGGTCGATCTGATGCAGCGCAGCGAGATGAGGTCCACAGCACACATCGCATTCCACTGTCCCACGTGCATTCCGTCATCTTGAAGATAGAGCAACAAGAGAAGAATGACTTTCCGTAGCGCACACAATGCCGTCTGACAGCAGTGATTAAGTGACAGCCAAAAGCCAACAGTCAGTCACTGCTAGGCAAGAATGTGTGTAACATCGCATGACAGGGAAGGGATCCAGGAAACCAACAGCGTCGTAGCCCGAATTGGCGCAATTCTGGATTTAGGAGTAATTTCCACATGGTGGTTGTTGGCGCTGTGCTTTCTTCTCGTCCGCACCGCGGGCACCGTCACGAAGGAGTGTCGTAGAGGACACAAACTGCGTGGCAGAGAGGAGGAATAGGGAATAATAGTGCTCGGTTTCACTGTCGCGGGGATCATGCGACTCACTCCCTCCCTCTCTGTGCCTCCATCATGTGTTCCTCTTGAGAGAACGGGATCTGGGGTTCTTCCCTTCCCGCTCAAACCCAGACCCTGTGCCTTCCCCTGTCTGTGCCTGTCCAGCCTTGCCGTGCCAAAAAAGCTTTTCCCCATTCGCGGCGTCTTTTTCTGGGGGTGGATCCGCCAACTGGTAAAATCGTTGTGTCAACGCCTCCCCATTCGCCAAACAAGATTGGAACTCCAGGACGCGTTCTTGGCTGTTTAGCTATTTTGGCCCCTGCGCCTCTTTCCTCTCTTCCTCTTTTGAGAGAGCTCTTCTTCCTCCTCTCCTTCCTGCCTGTCCTTCCTTTTCCCACCACCACCACTACTCACATATCTCTGTGACTTGTCTCGGGACTGCCCACATTTACATCATAATAATTACACTTTCACCACAGTCGTTTTTTAAACTCTTCGTTTTTCCATTCCAACCACCAGCTCAACCGAGTCGTTCAACATTCCACAAGTGGTAAGTACATGATCGTGCCCCCAGCAACGAGATTGCGCGCCTTTCTTCGAATCGATCCACCCATATCCATCCTCCCCCGACGTTTCCACCTCGACCGCGACCTCGGTTTTCCTCCCACCGCCAATTCTGTTTTCTTCACATCCCAAAAGCTTATTTACCGTCGCATCAGCTGACCTCTTGTTCGCTCAAACTCGCAGTTGTACTTCATCTCACTCACCACCACCATCGTTTACTCTGTATAATCCAGAACAACATCCATCACCATCAATTAGTCAAAATGAAGTACTCTTTCGCCACCGTTCTCGCTCTTGCGACCGCCGCTCTCGCCAGGCCCAAGTTCACGAACTCCAACTACGATGTTGTCGTCGGCGAGCCTTTCACTCTCAGGTGGGACTCTGCCGAGGGCAATGTCAAGATTTCGCTCTACAAGGGCACGGCCGGAAATGAGAACAGCTTCAAGCCCGTCGAGGTCCTTACTAGTGAGTATCTTCTGGCTATCGACCGGCACCTGCGAAACATTTGGACTGACTTTCGATATCAGCCACCTCCGGCGCTAGCGGCTCCTTCACCTACACTCCCACCGACAGCTTGAACGGCGACTATGCCTTTGTCATTGAGGACGAGAGCGAGGACCCCCGCAATTTCAGCCCAGCTTTCCCTCTTGAGGGTACCGAGGTCGTCACCTCTGCCACCACCTCTGTGACCACCATCACCAGCACTGCTGAGTCCTCCACCGAGACCTCCACCGAGTCTTCTACTGAGACTGAGACCTCCACCGAGTCCACCACTGCTACCAGTATGTTCTCCCAACTTCTAGTTTCAAGTATAAACTAGTGTGCTAACCAACCCCCCTTCAGCTCTCGAGACCACCACCACTGCCCCACCCACCAGCACTCGCCGCGCCCAAGAAACCGAGACTGCTCCCCCCAACACCAACAACGGCCAGCGCTTTGCTTCCTCGCTCGCGCTCGTCCTCGGTACTGTTGCCGCCCTTGTCTTCTTTAACTAAGTTGATACCATGAGGGTTGTTGCTGCTGTTTTGAGTTGAGATTTTCTGGCGTTTAACAGTCACCAAAAACTTGGCTAATAATACCCCGGGCTTGTTTGTTTGGGTGGTTGTTGGTTTCTTGGTTTTTTTTTCTTTCTTGTCGGGTGTTTTTTGTGAGGGTTTTTTACTTCTCGTACATAGGTTGGTACCTTTTTTTTCGTGAAGGGAAGGCTAGCTGTAATTGGTTAATTGGCTGAGGGGAAGGGAGATGGGTGTTGTCTTCTTGTTTATGATTAACAAAGATGGGGGTGATTGGTTTAAGGCGGAGTAGGATAGGGAGGGAGAAGACAGATGAATGTTAGGATGTAATGGATTATATTTTATGATTAACTTGATGACTTGTGTGTGCTGATGTGATGTGAGATTGGAGATGGGAAAGAGGTGAAGTTGTGAAAAGGTTTGAGACTTGCAGTTGTTAGAGTTAATAGGCGAGGTGTCAAAGTTTATAGCTTGGTGAAGCTAGGGGTGACACCGCTGCGGTTTAGATGGCCGCTGGGACAGGAGTTGGGGAGTTCGGGGATTGACGAATTGAATTGTTGGAGTCAGGGTTCGTTCAACGTGGGTCGGATGGTGGCATATGCCTCTACCCGTTGTTCGGCCGGTTGCTGGTCGGTCGGGTTAGGACCAAGGACGGTGTGAGAGCTAGGTATAGTGACGTTGTGTACGGGGGGACCACATATGCAGATGCAAGTAAGTATGAGGAGCGTTATGCGAGTGACAATGCAGGGAGGACATGTTGTGGCCAATTAGGGGTTTGAATTGAGGGTGAGATAAGCACTGTGTTTACACGACATTTTTCATCCCATGTTTGTGTTTTTGCTGTGTTGGAGGGCCGATGATAAGGCTTGTCGGACCATACCGCTGACGGGGATGACTGACCGTCTGATGTCTGAGTTGTGTAACCTGCTCTGTTTCCTTGAGGGTGTAGTCAGCGGCGATGTCGGAGAACAGGATAACGAAGAGAGTTGCTGCCGCAGAAGGCTTAGAGGCGCCGGATGTAATACCATAAACAAAGTGCTAGCTTGCGAACACTAAACAAAAGACACCAACTGTCAGATATCAGGTTATATATATGATTCCCAATTCGGCTCTGAAAGCCAGCCAGCCTTATGTACATAATCTAGAAACTATATACCCCCTCCCCTAAACATCACACGGGTTGTTTTCTTTTTCAGCCATCAGCAAATAACGCTGGCTTTGATTCCTTTCTGACTGTTTTGATACATGGTTCCCATCTTCGACCCACTTGCAGCGCCATCTATCCCAAAAACCGTTTCATGCTCCCAAAATGCAAAATATCATTCGCAACGCCTCCCATATCCTTCCCACCCATATCCCTTACAACTTCGCCTTCACACTCCCCGCCCCACCCTCCTCCTCAACAACAACCACCACCACACAAATATCATCCTCCTTTCCCCCCCTCCAAACCTCATGCGGGTAATACTTCTTCACCTCCTTCGCAAACGGCCCATCCAGCTTCGGATCCACACTCGCAATCTTCGCCTGCCTAACAATCTCCGTAGCCAGCCTCCCCTGCAGCGTCGTCTTCCCCTCAGTCACACTCTTGATATCCTCCTCCACCACACACCCCCTCTCCCCATTAACCCTCCAAACCCCCCTCTCCCTCATAACCGAGCTCACAATCCTCAAAATATCCCCCTCAAACAGATTATCCCACAGCCCATCACTAGCAAAAACAACCACATCCCCATGCCTCAGCCCATGTCTCGTGACCTCGGCATCCCTAGGCTGATCCATCAACTGCGCGCCCCCAAAAGCCGCCGCCCGCAACAGCATAGAAGGCGGCACAACGCTGAGCTGATACGGCGTGTTAAACGCATGAGTCTGCGGTTCGCTGCTCGCGTGGACGCCCCCCCTTCTGAGAAGTATAAACCCGCTATCCCCCAAATTGGCGACTTCCATCTTCCCGTTGGAGGTCAACAAGCCAACAATGGCGGTGCTACCCCCGGCTTTGATGCTCTCATCATGACAGACAGCCTCGTAGCCCCTTTGCATGAGCTCCCGTGCTGTTGACGGCGGGTCGGATGATGATGCGTTGGCGGCCATGTAGTCGCAGAACGCATGGGAGAAGTCGGCTGGGTCGACTCCGCTGTCCATCCACCCTCCTACGCCGTCTGCCACTCCTAGGGCGACTTCCCCGCTGGAGGGGGAGGCACCTAGCTGACTGATGAAAAACGCGTCCTGACCTGATTCTGGCCGGGAGGATTTGGGACGTTTGGGGGATTTGGGCGGTTGGGAGAGGCGGTTGTAGGGGTTGAATTGGAAGAGGTGGGTTTGGGGGTCGAAGGGCCGGGATTTGGCTATGTAGGAGGCTGCGAGGTGGTAGTGATATTTGGTACTGGGGCATTGTTGTGGTGATGAAGAGGAGGGGCCGAGCATGGTTGCGGGGCAGGTTGAGAAGAGGAGGGCGTTGGTTGGTTTCATTGGGGTTGTTGGTGGTTGCCCTGGGGTGTTGGGCTGTTTTGATGGGGGTTTTTGTTTGCGGGTTGTGAATGTTGAGGCGGCGCGGAGGCTCGAACGGGAGGGGGACGGTGTTGTCGTCGGGGGGGTGAGAAGTCGGAGGGAGGCTGATCGGTAGGGGAGTCGAAGCGCGCGGGCCGCGCTAATTGTCGCAACCATCTTTGGTGGTGGTAGTTGGGGGAAATAACCGGAGATGAACCGAGTCTTTTTTGAATTGGGCGCTGATTCGACAGTGGGTAACAGTAGGAGTAACAATAAAGAAAAAGGGAAGGGTTGATGTTGCTCGTTTGTTGTTCAGTGGTGAAATTAGCCTCCGATTCAAAGCTGGTTCGTCAAGGTGCGCTGCTACCCCGCCGCCAGGTCTCCAGAGGGGTTGGAGAGAAAGAGAGAGCGAGTTTGGGTGGGCGATACTCTATTGCTAGCACATCACGAACGGTTTGGTGCGCTGGAGAGTGTGGCTGGCTGGCGGTGTGTTGAAGGTCCGTTCGAGAAAACTAAGGATCCGCCGTCGTGGTGGTGGGAGAGCAAGCTAGCTTGTACGTCGGCTTTGCTGGGGCCGGGCTAGACTGGTCGGTGTTTCGCTTTTTTCTCGTCGGTGCCGATTGAGGCTCTGCGGAGGCGTGTTGACATTATGTCACCCTGCGTTTCCGCACCGAAGACGCCCATCTTGAAATTTGATGCAGCCGCTGTGGAGAATCGGTCGGTCTCGGTCGCCCCCACTCCGATCCGGCGGTTGGAACCGGCATTCAGTGGGTGCGGCCCGTGCTGGCGCTGTCGGTTGCCTGCCGGGTAAGCTAGTCCGATTCTGTCACTTACATCTTCTTGATCTCCGATATCTTAAACATTTGATCCTGGTTTGATCATGTCACTCTCCAGGAACACTCCGACTGTTACAATATTTCACTCAACACGTCTTGGATACCTAGGCGAGTACCGACCTAAAAGTCATCCCGTCCTCCCGCCAGCTTAGGATCAACGCCACTTCTTGCAAGCTCGGTGCCATGCGCTACAGAATCTTGATATTCTTCAGATATATGGAGTCTCAGGACTAGGCTAATGAAGCCTACTACCTATCACTTATATGAAAGACTAGCGGATATGATTACTGAGCATCGGACGGAAGCCTGTCGTCTATCATTTCAATCTTCCATTGGCAAAGTGACGGACGTCCAGGCTAACCGCTCGTCAAAGAAATACCAATGAGCTACACTGTCCAATACCTAGACAAGTGGCAATGGTTGTCAAGGTTGAGACACCATGACCCTGATGGAGGTAGCCAAGAATAGCCTTGACAATTTTCGCCCAATATCACGAGAAGGCCTTGACTATATATCCTACCTCATCTTAGCAATCACCGATTGCATCTTGATAGTCCATTGCTTCAGAGTTGACTCTCATTATTCATTTCTTGATTGCCGCAGAATATCATGAATAAATCTGCGTCTTCCAAGTTTCCATCCTTCGGCCTCCCGGAGAACTGAAACGCCAAAGACAACGATGAAACCCAGTGCTACCCATTCTCATCAGCGCCACTCGCCATCGCGATAAACAAGTGGCTGCCGGCCTTTTTAGCGTTCAACCCGCCCCCAGGGTTCAGGGGACCAGCCGCTAAATAATCCGCGGGGTACAGCGGCAAGCGCGTGCTACCAAGCCGGAAAGAGTGCCCGTTTTCTTGATCGGCAAAGTTGTGGTGGTTTTGTCCGTGATAAGAACACCTTTGAAGAATCTCTCATTCTCGGCGCGGAATCATCGCTTTGGCCTGGGCAGGCTTGGCACAACTGGCCGGCAATCTCCCTTCCGTCTCTCTCTCTCCCTCGCTCGTGCTTTTTCCAGTTCTTTCTTTGTTTATGCGACAGTGCTCCTTCCCTTTCACCTCTGCATATCGAAAGAGTTCGGGCAAACTCATTTGTACAAAACCAACTTGCGACCTTCATCCAGATCGATCAAGTTATCGTCCCCCTCTTTGATCGCATCTATTCATCTCCCGATATAGAACTCAACCCAGGTGCATCAAATTCATCGCAGCAGCCACCCAGCCTATCCGAGTTCCTGGAACTCTGGACCTCGGACATTCCCCATCCCATCCCATCCGGTCACCACACACAAAAACAACACAAACAATGGCCATCGCCACGCTTCTACCCAGGCAAACCTACTACTACCGCAACTGCACCCGAGACGAAGATGGCTTTCTCATCAGCGACGAAAACTGCTACATCTCCTTCTGGAACACAAAGGTACGTCCCCTCTCCCCCACCCACCTACAACCCCCACCCTCCCAGTTTAACATTCCCCCCCCCCCCCCCCTCTCCCATAGGCCGGCAAAATAGTCAAATGGTCCCTCTTCCTCGCCATCCTCCTCTCCCTCACCCTCTACCTCCTAATAGGCTACTTCCATGCCCGGAAACGCGTCCGCTCCGGCCTCCCCCCGCTGGGATACCACCGCTTCCTCGTCAACCGCGCCACCCTCGCCCAAGTCGACCCCCGGTATCGATACCCCCAATCCACCTTCACCCCTTACAACTACAACGCGGACGGGCATCAATACTACAACATGCAAGGGATGCCACCACCACCAGTCTACGATCCCAACGCGCCACGGCCGCCGGTTTACGAACCACCTGCTGGAGTCTCTAAATATGGGGAGGGTAATGGGAATGGGACGACACCACCACCACCGCAGGATAATGGGTATATCTACTCCCCACCACCGGGACCACCACCACCAGCGGTGGTCGCGCCAGTGCCAAGTAGCAGCTTGAATGAGCAGTATGCCCCTCCCCCTGGGCCACCACCACTCACACTACAACCTCAAGGAACGGGGAATACCAACAACCCGTTCAGGAGCTAGAAGAGACGGTATCGGATTGGGAAGGCAGGTAGCAGGGTAGGGTTTTGGAATAGGATGAGGAGTGAGCGTAATTTGTATATATGATTGATCCCCTGGTGGGAAAGGACCACGGAACAGAATAAAGGAGGGAAAGCTTGACCATGCTCAATGCTCAACCTGTGGGCATTAATGGGGTTTCTCGATTGAGAAGGAGAAGGGCGCGGAACGCCCAGCAGCTCTCACGAGTAGGGTTCACTCTGGAATTACCTACGTTATAGCATTCATTACAAACATGCCTAAATACACCTAATATTACAAGCAGCGCAAGAGCATTTTGTTTTCTTCAATCATGTTTCTGTTATTGTGTAGCTAATGGTGTCCTATCAAGAATTATGAAGGATGCCCGCTATGTAAGATAACGGACTCATGCCTGATGGGAGCCATGTCCTGTGATACCGGTCCCTATGTCCGCTTTGTAGAATAAATGCACGCGCTGCCTGTAAAACACCTCGCTAAATTTCAACCCAAGTCAATATTTGTTGCCGTGTGCCTAGATAGCCACAGAAATACCGTGAATGCGCCGTGTGTGAAGGTATGGGAACCTCAAAACCCCTGATAACCTTTGAACCGACCAACCCACGAAACAAACAAAGAAAAAGACGGCCGCCTTGCTGTATTTCAGTCGGGATCCATAGCATCTGAATCACAGCCGAACGATATGACAACCATATCTCAGCAGACCTTGGTGGGATCCGAAATCTAGCCGAGATCCATAGCAAGTCGATTCTATTCGAGCTCCATTTCGTCTGGATCGTAGTCGAGCTTCACGTCATCTGAGCACTAGTCGTGCGCCATGGGATCTGGATCCTAGTCGCGGTGCCGCATGACATCTCGATCCTAGTCGAGCTCCATGGCATCTGGATCCTCTGCTGATGACGACGAAGCCTGTGGCGCGGAAAACATGACCGTGCTATCCACTGGAACCTCCCTCATCGCGGCAGAGCCCTCTCAGCCTCCTGCTTCTCCCTCATCCGTTGTCTCGCCTCGATGATAGCCTTGCGCACGCTGTCTTGCTCTTCTGGTACCGTGATAGAAGAAGGTACCCGGTACAAAACAAGTTGTCTATCGGCCATCTCTTGTGGCGAGGGGGAAGCGAGGATGTTTGGAGGGATGCGATGGGACTTGAGGTGCTTCTCAATGTCGGGGAGGAAGATGAGTTTCCCGTCGTCAGTCTCATTGTCGGACGAGGAGAGCTCGTCGTCGAGGTTGTAAATGTAGACTTTGTGCTTTGTGTCGTCGAGCTGCATCATGGAGTCATCCATGGGGGTGTGTTTGTGGTGGCCATGGCTACGGCGCTGGGATTGGAGTTGTTGTTGATGATGGATGGCATTGAGATCGGGTAAGGATTGGTTGTGGCTGTCACCTTGTTCAACGGGGACGTAGAGTTTGGGTCCAGAGTGTTCTATGGAGAAGGGGGCGGGTGTTAGTGTGAGGGCTGGAATGCGACGATGACGTTGAGGGGGACTGTGCACCACACCGTACATACCGAGATTCAGCAGGCTCATGCGCTTGGAGAGGCGCTCGTTGTTCTCTGGGGGGGCATCTGGTTTGCGCTTACGGGAGAGGCGAGATGCCGGTGGTTGTGGTTGTTGTTGAAGCTGAACTTGTTGCTGCTGGAAAGGGTTGTGATTGAGGTATCCATATTGATAGTGGTGGTCCATGCCCACAGCGGGTGGGAAGCTCCCCATCTCCATGATATGGTGGTGGGTGGCCAGTCGCGGCGCAGGGTTTGCCAGCATTTATTTCTCCCTCTTCCCTGTAACTCTGTTTCGCCAATTGCTTTAGGTGAGGTGTCGGAATGCGCGCCAATCAAGGTGGGATTCGGGAACTTTAGGACAGGAGATTGGGAGATTGATTGGACTGGTTCGAGATAAAGGGAAAAGGCCGATATCGCGAAGAGGGTTTAGAGAGAGAGAGGAAGAGAGAGAGAGAGGAAGGTTGTAAGAAAAGGACGGATGGAGAAGGCGTTGTGGTTACGGTGGTCTTGCCGCGAGCGGTCCAGGAGCTGGGGCGGCACGCGCTATCAATCGGCTTTTGTGGTGAATTTGAGTCATTGCTCGCGAACCTTCCACCACAAAACCCGTTTGACCCCGCCATCTTCAACACTCTCGAACTTTCGAGCACCCACCTCCGCCCTCCGGACTGCAGCCCCGGCTTCCTACTACGCTGCCTCTGCCTTGTTGGATTACTATCGAACCCGTCATCATCTCCCTTCGCACCTCAAACGCCTACACCACACCATGACGGAACCCCAGTGGACAGGCCCCCGCGTCCGGGAGACGTTTTTGAAGTTCTTTGAAGAGCGGGGCCACACCATCGGTATGTGATATCGATACACTATTACCCCTCCATGCACGCTGTATCGAAATATGCTGGCTGTTGGTTACACAGGCCGAAGGATGACCACAGCAAAGAGGCCCTTATTCAAAGCTGGATATTTCTCTATTTCTCTGCTCAAAGAGAGTTGCATGTCTTGCAGAAAACAATCACAATGATTGTAGCAGTGGTCCAACAAGCCTCATCAGTCTTATCATAACCACCAAGATCAAGTTGACCTTGGTGGGGTTGATATCGCCACACACTTTTGCAAAAAATCATCCTTCGAGCCATGTATTCGCACCAGCTATGCGCTTCAATAGTCTAGCTTCTCTTCTACAACAGCCTGTGCTAACCTCACACCTCAGTCCCATCGTCGTCGGTTGTGCCTCACAATGACCCGACACTGCTCTTCATCAACTCGGGCATGGCCCAGTTCAAGCCCCTGTTCCTGGGAACAGTAGGCAAGACTGAGCCCATGGCTGCGCTCAAGCGTGCTGCCGACACACAAAAGTGCATCCGTGCCGGTGGAAAGCACAACGACCTTGACGATGTAGGCAAGGATTCCTACCATCACACCTTCTTCGAGATGCTTGGCAACTGGTCGTTTGGCGACTACTTCAAGAAGGAGGCTATTGGGTGGACATGGGAGTTGCTCACCAAGGTGTATGGTCTCGACCCTAATCGTCTCTATGTGACCTACTTCGAGGGCAACGAAGCCATGGGCCTGGAACCAGATCTCGAGGCCAAGCAGCTCTGGCTCGACCAAGGAGTACCAGAGGACCACATCCTTCCCGGCAACATGAAGGACAATTTCTGGGAAATGGGCGACCAAGGGCCATGCGGGCCGTGCTCCGAGGTTCACTACGACAAGGTTGGTGGGAGAAATGCTGCGCATCTCGTCAACCAGGACGACCCTCTCGTGGTAGAGATCTGGAACAACGTCTTCATGCAATACGACAGGCAAAAGGACAGGAGCCTCAAGCCTCTCCCCGCAAAGCACATTGATACCGGTCTGGGTTTTGAGCGTCTGGTATCTGCCCTCCAGCACAAGTCTTCCAACTATGATACCGATGTTTTCGCCCCTCTGTTCGCCAAGATCGTCGAAGTCAGCGGTTCCCGCCCATACAGCGACAAGTACGGCAAGGACGACGTCGATGGTGTCGATACCGCGCTCCGTGTTGTTGCCGACCACATTCGTCTCCTCTCCTTCTCCATCGCTGATGGTGCTGTTCCCGGCAACATCGGCCGCGGTTACGTCGTTCGCCGTGTTCTCCGCAGAGGTGTCCGCTACGCCAGGAAGTACCTCAATGCCAACATTGGTTCTTTCTTCTCCCAGATTCTTCCTGCTTTGGTCGAACAGATGGGCGAGCAGTTTCCCGAGCTCAAGAAGAAGGAGGCCGATATCAAAGAAATCCTTGATGAGGAGGAGGTTGCTTTCGCTGTTACCCTCGACCGTGGTGAGGCCATGTTTGAGAAGTATGCCGCTGCTGCGACCAAGGCTGGCGAGAAGAAGCTTTCCGGTGCCGATGTTTGGCGTCTGTACGATACCTTTGGTTTCCCAGTGGATCTCACCAAGTTGATGGCCGAGGAGCGCGGCCTTACCATCGACGAAGAGGAGGTCAAGGTTGCCCAGGAGAAGGCTCGCGAGGCTTCCAAGGCGGTCAAGGAAGCCGTCACCACCTTCCCTAAGCTCACGGTTCATCACATTTCCGAGTTGGAGAATGACCGGAACATCCCCCGGACGGACTCGGAGGCCAAATACTCTGCGCAGAGCAGCGAAGGTAAAATCCAGCTCATCTTCAACGGTTCCGAGTTTATCGAGAACAGCAAGGATGTGCCACCAAAGACACCCCTGGGCATCATCCTCGACAAGACCAACTTCTACGCTGAATCCGGTGGTCAGGTTGCCGACACTGGTCGGATCATCATTGACGATGAAGCTGAGTTCAAGGTCCTCGATACTCAAGAATTCGGTGGTTACGTCGTTCACTCCGGTTTCCTCGAGTACGGCAACTTGAAGGCTGGTGATGTCGTCAAGTGCGAATTTGACGAGCTCCGTCGCCAACCCATCCGCAACAACCACACCGGCACTCACGTCCTCAACCATGCCCTGAGAGAAGTGCTCGGCGATACGGTCAACCAGGCCGGCTCGCTCGTCGATCAGGACAAGCTGCGCTTCGATTTCAGCCACAAGACGCAGGTGACACTGCCCGAGATCAAGCGCATTGAGGAGCTCTCCAACGCCGATATCCGCAAGAACCTCAAGGTGTACGCCAAGGATGTTGCCCTGTCCGAGGCTAGAGAAATCAACGGCCTTCGTGCCGTGTTTGGTGAGACGTACCCTGACCCTGTCAGAGTGGTGTCCGTCGGTGCCTCTGTTGAGGAGATGCTCAAGGACCCCAAGAACCCTGAGTGGCGCCAGTTCAGCGTTGAGTTCTGCGGTGGTACTCACGTTGACGCCACTGGCCTCATCAAGGACCTGATCATTGTTGAGGAAAGCGGTATTGCCAAGGGTATCAGACGTATCGTCGCCTACACGGGCGCCGGTGCCCACCAGGCTCAGCAAGACGCCAAGGACTTCAGCGACAGACTAGATCACATTGCTGCCTTGGAGTTTGGCCCCGAGAAGGTTTCGTTGGTCAAGGCTGCGTCCGTCGATCTCGATGCTCTCGTCATCTCCGTCTTGACCAAGGAAGAGTTGCGTAAGAAGTTTGCCACCATTCAGAAGTCAGTCCTTGACGAGCAAAAGAAGAGGCAAAAGGCTGAGAGCGGGACTGCTCTGTCTACCGTTCAAAAGTTCTTTGCCGATGAGAAGAACAAGGACGCCAAGGCGTTCGTTGGGCACTTGCCCATCTCTGCCAACGCCAAGGCCATCTCTGAGGTGATGACTTACTACAAGAGCAAGGACAAGGCCAAGAGTGTGTATCTGTTTGCTGGAAGCAAGGATGAAGCTGTCGTACATGGTGTTTATGTCGGTACCGACTTGAAGGGTGTTACCGCTGAGCAGTGGACTGCTGCTGTTACCGAGATTGTGAGTTTGCCCCGAGTATAAATGACCAACAAAAGACAAAAGCTAATGAGATCGAGTAGATTGGCGGTAAGACGGGCGGTAAGGAGCCCAGTCGCCAGGGTGCTGGTTCCAACCCTGAGAAGCTTGATGAGGCCGTCACCAAGGCTCAACAATGGTTGGAGGAGAAGATGAAGGAGCTTAGCCTTTGAGACTGTTGCTTTCAAAGTGAAATAATCAATGAGCTAACGGGATCGGCATGGCGTGTGGTGTTGGTAGTTTTGAAATCACGATAAAAGTATCTAAAAGCCTTGCTCTATAGATTCCCTTTATGACCGTATACTTTTTTCATCTGCTTTCTGGATTCTTCTATGTACAGTAGGCATTGTCAAGTTCATATTTCTGGCTGAAGGCTGTGTTGCAATTGCTGACTATGGCAAGCAAAAGAGGTCCATCTCAGGTTTATATGGAAGAGAAGATAGAAAGCAAAAAAGAACAAAAACACACAACACTGAGGATTCCACAGTGGTCACCCATCTGAGTACTAGCTCGGCATTTAAAGGTGAGGAGAATATACTTCTAAGATGCGGTTACAGGATGCTTGTCACAGTCTTGGTTTCTTGGTCTTACTTAGAAGGTCCGATATGTTCTGTGAAGCATGCTATTCCCATGAAGAACGAGTAGGTGTACGTTTGACTGGTTATTCTCAAGTTGGATTCTCCAGACATTTCTGCTGAGGTTTGATGCTGTTGTTTGATGCTGTTGTTGAAAGGGGCGATGTTGAACAAAGAAACTAGCTCTCCTGTGAGCTCAAGATGGATACCGCAACCGTCACACAACAGAGAAAAACTTTGCCACGCTAGGCGTCGCCGTTCCCTGCAAGTGGAAAGGCAAGGATGTGTGGAAATCCGGCACCTCCTTGCCGTAAAACAAGGGATGCAGGCCGTTTTCCGGAAGATGGCGGAGCGGAGGGATGGCTACGACTTTATACACCCGGTGCGCCCGTGGAAGGACTGGCAGGATTTGAGGACAGAGCGGCGTGCTGCAGAGGTTATTGAGCAGATAATGGGGGAGCTCTAGCAAAATCTAAGTTCAGAAGCTGAAATAACTGAAGGATTCATCCAACTATATTTTGAACGGTTTCTGGTCCCCGGTTTCTCCCTCGTTCAATTTTGCACCACTAGGCCCTGGTCTGTTGCCCGCTCAAATAGAAGCCTCACTGTGAGGAGCATCAAATCTATCTATCTCGTCCGACCACGGGATGCCATCCTGCGCTCCGACATTCATGATGGTAATTGCCGCAGCTTTGTTTGCACGAACGACAGCGCTTCTGATGTCCCAAGTCCCTTTGGCCTTTTGGCGTAGGTAGTCTGAGGAACAAGCCCCGGTAAAGGTATCCCTGTTCCTATTAGCGCTCGTACAGAACAACTGGAGGCAGCTCAGTGCCTGTAAGGGTTCCAGCTTCACCCTGCTCCGGTGGTGTCCTTGATGATAACGTTATACGTAGGGTAGTGAGCGCTGCCATCGGCATTGGCGTAGAACGCGCCCTTGGCGGCCAGCGTGATGACCACATTCTTCATGCCACGGTCTAGAAACTCGTGTGCGATGGTTGACAAGCTCTCTTGGTTGACCTCGTCCCTATCCCGGCCCGACATGATGGCCGCTTCCGATTCGTTGACAAGCAAGTGCGTGAGGTGCCGGTAGAAGCAGTTGCCGACGGGGGTCGCAGGCGCCGCGCTGAGGCAAAAGTCGATGCCATTCTGATCACCCTCTGACAGCAATTGTTTCCCAAACACAACAAATTCCACGGGGAGCACGAGGCTCTCCGGAAGCCAAGGTTGCCTTCAGGATCTGTATGATTGGTTGGCTTAGTGTCGATGGATCATCTTGTACACGAATCTGGCTCAGGGGTAAATAGGGGCTATTGAAGCTGTGTCAGCAAAAGGTGGAGCGAATTCTTTTCTTGTGAGAGCCGTGCGATTCAGGGTTAGTTCATTTTGCCTGGCGTTCATTAGACAGTCTATCTTGACGTGTGATCTTCCAACCAACTTACCTACTTGCTTACTCGGTGCGGCTGGCGCATGCTCGAGAGCACATGGGTGCCTTTGGCTTTTGTCCTCCGAGATATAAGAGTCACACTCGGGGAGAAGGCTGCGGGTGCTGTCTGGTTGTGTCACTGATGATGAGTAATGGATGTCTCGGCACCTGAATATGGTCATATGTGATGGTTTATGTGGAAAACAGCCATCATGCTCTTCAAAAGCCGCGACATTGTTTTGTAAGATATTCAAAGACACAAAAGAACTCGGGAGGCTTGGCAGAACGTCACAGTGCGTGGTAACTCCGATCTTCAGCGGGTGGCCCAAGCTTGCTTATCGCGCCGGCCGGAACTCTTATCCCCATCCGCTCGCCGAATGACACAACCTCCTCCTCGTAAATATGCACATCACCGCTTTCGTTGAATCGATGACTGTTTGAATTATTTTGCGGTGAACGAGCCCATCTTTAGTTTGAGTTACCTATTTTATTACAAGACTGGATTCTCTTCCGGTTGCATTTCCTCAATTCAACCGACCAAGTCGTCGACATCACAATCGCCACACGGACGGACCTCTCGGCATTTGCAAGTCTCACTCATCATCACATTTGTTGAACAAAATGGAATCTTCAGAGACAAACCCTGATCTTGAGTCGTTTAGGGAGCAGTGGAGGGCTGAGGTCAGGGCTAGACATCAGCAGTCACACCGCCCCCGTCAGCATCAACATGCTACGGCTGGACCATCGACGGGGTCGAGGAAGCCGCCTCCTCCTACGAAGAAGCCGATCGCCAAGGAGTATGAGGAGGATTATGTGCCTACAAAGGTGTTTGATGAACCCGGACAGCCGGCCACAATTACAGGAGTTGCCGCTGTGCCCACTAAGAAGGAGCCATTCACCGCTCTCGAGCATTATGAGAAGGCTGTGGAAAGGGAGGCGGCGGGGAATTTGGGGGATAGTTTGAGGCTGTATAGAAAGGCGTTTAGGGTATGTCTTGCTCCTCCTACACTCTAACTGGTACTGACTGCTGACCCAACATTCAGATGGACGACCAAGTCGATCAAAACTACAAAGCGAAGCACTTCCCCAGGGCGAAATTTCCCCAAAAGATGGCAGCACCAAAGTCGGGGGATTCCTCTACGGCTGCGGCACCGGGGGATGCAAAAGCCGATCAGCCTCAGACTATGAAGGAGCTCATCGCCAGTTTTGCGGGTTTGAGTATTGAGCCGGTGCCGCCAGAAATCGAGGGCATGCCTCAGCCTCCCTGCCCGATTTCGAACCTGCCTGATGAGATACTTGTTCACATCCTCCGTGACGTTGCTGTTGCGGATGTGGGTGACTTTGTTCGTCTGGCGCAGGTATGCAAGCGGTTTGCGTTTTTGGTCGTGACGGAGGATAGGATATGGCGGCGGATTTGTTTGGGGGTGGAGTTTGGTTTTGGGGGGATGCACTACCACTGGCAGAGGCAGATCACTTGGGAGCCGCTTGCCGAGGAGGATCTCGAGCGGGAGGCGGCTGAGGAGGCGGCTGCTGTGGAGGCGTTTACGCAGAGCAGCGGTGCGACTTCGCCAACGGAGACTGAACAAGAAGATGGTTTTGTTGTGCCAGTTTTTGACCTGGAGAAACGGGCGGAGAAGTTGGCTGATGAATCGACAGCCAATACGCTGGCGTTTTTCAACAGCCTTTACGGGTCGAGTTGGCAACGGATGTTCCGTCTTCGTCCGAGGTTGAGGTTTAATGGGTGTTATATCAGCACTGTGAACTACGTCCGGAGCGGGATGGCTAATTCGAACAGTATCACTTGGGGGGCGCCGATTCATGTCGTGACGTACTACCGGTACCTACGATTTTTCCGGGACGGGACTTGTTTGTCACTGTTGACTACAGCGGAACCAAACGATGTGGTTCACCACCTTACCCGTGAGACTTATGCCTCCCACCATTCGGGGCATGTGATGGAGTCAGCGCTAAAGGGGAGGTGGAGGTTGGCGAGGGCGGGGGATAACCCGGGGGCTAGTCTGAGCGAGGTTGAAGGGGATGTGATGGTGGAGACGGAGGGGGTGAGTAAGTATGTGTACAGGTTGGATCTGACGCTGAAGAGCGCGGGGAAGGGGGCGAGGAATAATAAGTTGGCTTGGAGGGGGTTTTATAGCTGGAATAGGCTGACGGATGATTGGGCTGAGTTTACGCTGAGGAATGATAAGCCTTTTTTCTTTTCGAGGGTGAGGAGTTATGGGGTTATGGGGGCGTAGAGGGATGGGGAGAGGGGGTGGTGTAAATAGTATGATTGATGAGTATATGAAGGGAAGAATGAATGAAATTATTTGGTTGAAAGGCCTTGTTGCTGTGGGGGTGGAGTAAGTGATTGTTGGTGGCTTTGAGGTGCAGGAAAAGGAGCTGATGTGACTAACGATACCTAACTGTGCTGGTGCATAATAAAGATGTGGGAGTGTGTCCGGGCTGTGTGGAGGAAAAAAGGAACAGCGCTCAGCGAACGTTTTGAACACGATCGTATTAGCAGAGCAGTCTTCAAAATCAACAAAAAACACACCCCGGCATTTGGTCGTGCTACTTGGCCATAAACCAAATGCAACGATAGTAATTGGGCAGGAAACGAAGGCTATATGGCGGGGCGGGGGTGCTCTTAAGCCCGAAGCAAAGACTCGAGGGCATAAGAAATGGACAGATGATGATCGGTCGACGTTTCGAACCCATCGACTTGACATTGGGGTTCTGGTGGGAAGAGCAAAACATTCTCTACATGGGGTTAAAGGATGCATCATCATAAACAACTGCGCCTTTTAATCCTATGCAGAGAATACCTTCTTGTTTGAGATAGGGGACTGTATCCTTCGTGCTCTTTCTTTGGCATACGCCGGTCATGATACTGATGCAGAAAAAGAAAAAGAAACGAGGCTGCGCTCGAACTCCCGACGGTTCGAGGTGAGATTCCAAGCAAAACACTGCTCGTATCTGGTTCACGATCATGTCGAAGACCACATGACCATCAGCCATCGTGCGATATGATTGTGAATCAGACACGAGGAGCAATTGTTGACGCAGAAAACCGAGGTTATATATTGCCGCTTCAACTTTCACACATGCTCTTGCACTGCTTGGGGCACTCACTTCTTGGGCTTCAGGTGTAGCAAAGCCAGCTCATGCACCTTCCAACACTAAACACTTTTGGGTGCTCAACTTTATATCCCAAATAACCAACAAAATAACAAATCCCAGCTTGAAGTTATTCACCACTCCGACCCATACATCCACTTCCACAGCTGCCCATTTCAAAACATCGCAACATTTGCCCACCAACACCGACCAAAAAGATTTTTCCCGACCTCAACAGTCCAAAACACCAAAAGATCCCAGCTATTTTCACCTTTTTTTTCTTTTTTTCGCGCCGCCTGTTCCATAACAACCTCACCATCACCAAAACAAAAAAAGGGGCTCAGGGGCAACATCAAGAAAGGGGTCAAAAAGTGGTCAGTGCGCCCCCCAGCTCAACACAGCCGGCGGCAACCGACCCCACAAACCGTAACACAACGGCTGGACCGCGGTTCCACCGTTGGCGGGCTCCAGCTGACACCATCAACCGCGCCCCTGTGAACAGACACGGAGCCGGGCAACTCGAGACGAATGTCCTCTGACCACCATTTCTCGACACTTTTTACCTTAACCGACTACAGCCACTCTTTTTTCTTTGAAAAATCCATCAGTCTTCTTCAGCACAGTCGTTTACTTTAGTTGCCATTGGCATTTTACGCCTTTAAGATTCCGAATCAAAGGGCGGAAATGATATAACCACCACCTCCATCCCCCATCACCACTCGACGACAACAAACGATCCCCTCCAACCGTGACCGCAACCATGGCGCCGAACGGTGGCAGCGGCAGCGGCACCGGCCCGCTGGCCCTCCTCCGAAAAATCTACACCCTCGACACCCTCGACACCCGCTTCACCACCCCCTCGGGCGTCCCCTACCGCCCCCTCGAAGCCCGTTCCCCCGATAAACGACGGGACTCAACCTCCCCCAAACCCCCCACCAATGGAGCCTCACCCCCCAAGTGGAAAACCCCCGAATTCTACCTCTACTACCTCGTCTTCCTCCTCGCCGTCCCCTCCATGTTCTACGTCGCCTACTCCGTCTCCCGCCCCTCGGACCCCCGCTACCCCAAGTTCGAGCGTTTTCTGTCAGAAGGCTGGATCCCAGGCCGCAAAATCGACAATTCAGACGCCCAATACAGAACATTCAGGCGGAACCTCCCCGCCATGGCTGCATTGTTACTTTTTCACCCTTTACTCAGGAGAGCGTACAACATGGTCACCACAAGGGGTGAGGTAAAAGAAAACAGTGCCGAAGGGGTGGAAATGCGGTTTCGTCAGCGGACATCGTTTGATTTTGTGTTTGCGCTGGTTTTTTTGGTGATTTTGCATGGTTTCTCGGCGATCAAGGTGTTGGTGATACTGGCGGGGAATTATGCGATTGCGAAGGGGTTGCCGAGGAGGTATGTGCCGGTTGGGACGTGGGTTTTTAATATATGTACCTTGTTTGCGAATGAGGTTTGTTCGGGGTATAGGTTTGGGTATGTTGCCCGACTGGTGACGGGCACGTTGGGGATTGACAGGAAGAATATGGTTGTTGACCTGCCGGCGGTGGTGAGGTTGGGGGAGTGGATGGATGGGTTTGGGGGGTTGATGGGGAGGTGGGAGATTTTGTTTAATATCACAGTTTTGAGGCTGGTTAGTTTTAGTTTGGATTATTACTGGAGTTTGGATGGTAGGAATACGGTGGGGGGGGTGGTTGAGGTATGTTTTGTTCGTTGTGTTCACCCTGTTAGAGAGATGCTGACACGCATAAGAAGAAGAACCTCGACCTGTCCAACCTCTCTGAGCGAGACCGGATTGCCCTGCCGGCTCAAAAGGGTGATTACGGCTTCAGGAACTATGTCGGGTATGCGGTTTATGCGCCGCTGTATCTGACGGGTCCGATTATTACGTTCAACGATTACATCTCGCAGTCGCGGTACCGATCAGCGACGATTTCTTCGGCACGAACGTGGAAGTATGCGGTTCGGTTTCTGCTGGTGCTGCTCTGCATGGAGCTGGTGCTTCACTACGACTATGTCGGCGCGATAAGCAAGTCACGCCCTGAATGGTCGACTTACACGCCCGCTCAGATCTCTCTGTTGTCATACTTCAACCTGCACATCGTCTGGCTTAAGCTCCTCCTTCCCTGGAGATTCTTTCGACTCTGGTCGTTGGTTGATGGGATTGATCCACCGGAGAACATGCTGAGGTGCATGTCGAATAATTACTCGGCCTTGTCGTTTTGGCGGGGGTGGCATAGGAGTTATTATCGGTGGCTGCTGCGGTATATTTATATTCCGCTGGGGGGGTCAAGCTTCAGGTCTTTGGGGCAGGGGGTGAGGACGGTGGTGACGTATTTGGTTGTTTTTACGTTTGTGGCGCTGTGGCATGACATCAAGCTGAATTTGCTGATTTGGGGGTGGTTGGTGGTGTTGTTTTTTATACCGGAGATTGTGGCGGGACTGCTGGTGAGGAAGGAAGATTTTAAAGGAAGGGAGAGGACTTATAGGTGGCTTTGTGGGTTGGGGGGGGTGGGCAATGTGCTGATGATGATTTCGGCGAATTTGGTGGGGTTTGCGGTTGGGTTGGTGAGTACTTTGTTGTGATTTTGTTTGGGATGATAGAGGGGATGCTAACTGATGTGTGTGTGTGTGTGTGTAGGATGGGCTCAAGGCGATTATCAGTGGGGTTTTTAGGGATTATTCTGGTATGTGACACACGTTATGATGGGGAAATGGGATGCTGACAAAAGATATAGGACTGGTGTTTTTGGTCACGGCGTGTACGGCGCTGTTTGTGGGGATACAGGTCATGTTTGAGATTAGGCAGGGGGAGCTGAGACGGGGGATCAACTTGAAGTGTTGATTGAGGACGCGTCACAAGGGGGAGTGGGCCGTTCAAAAGTATAGCGTTGTTGTAATTCCCGGATGAGGTTTTGGTTTGTGTATACAAAGCTGGTCTTGAATTGGAGGCTGTAAGATATTGACATATTTGACATGGACAGGTGCCAGTTTGAATGCTCACCGAGCGTGGGAAACTACGACCTTGTGATATCGTACAAAGAGAACAAGTTTGCCCCGGGTGCTCGGTCAAGTCAAGCCCGGCACTTACCCACGTCATGCACGTACACAACAGCCAGCCTGCTCGTTACACCGTAACGGCGTCGGAAATTGGTTCCGAGAAATATCAATGTCTTGCCCACCCTTGTTGTGCTGTGCAAGTGCTCGCCAGCCACATGCTGTACTCACACCCCCTCCGAGTACATCACAAACATATGACAAGGCTGCAGTCCTCACCAACCACTCATTCCTGTCGTAAATAAATTACCACACATTGATATCTAACTCATGTCCACCCAGGGATCATACACATATATGCAACACACAAAAGCGGGTATCTCCTGTTTTCCTTCCCCATACCATCACACACACAGTAACAATCAAAACGCCTTCAATGATGGAGAAAGAGACCGATAACGACCAAACACCCCCCAGACCAGCCAAGAAGAGAGACATGAAAGAATAGCTAGAAACCCTTTTTTTAGCCTAGGTAACCATACCTCAAGATTACACATCCTCCCTCAAAGCAATAGCCTCCTTCCCCCCAATCTCCCTCTCCACCAACCCCTTCTCCCTCTTCACCCCCGCAAACTTGCCCTCCATCCCCAGTTTCGTCTCAGCAACCCATTTTCTCAGCCTGATCAACGCCCAAGCAACCCCAAACAAAATCACACACCCAATCGCGATCCCAAAGACATACACCACCACCCACGCCTTCTGCTTCTTCGGGTCCAAGAAATCATAGGTGTAAAACCCCTTGGTCGCCTCCGTCACATAGGCCAGCGCCAGATACAGCGCCAGCACAAAAATCAGCCACAGGATGTGCAGCGGCGGCGGGGTGTCGGTTCTCGGGATGACAATCTCAAAAAAGGCAAACACGCTGTTCAGCGCGTGCTGCGAGATGTTGGACCAGCCTTCATAGGCGAGTTTGTACCAACGGCCGTCGAACAAACGGGCCCAGTAGACAATAGTGACGACAAAAGGGTAGACGACAATGGTGGTGTAAAAGGCCGAGTGGAGCGCCTGCAAGAATCGAGGGAAGCGGTCGAGCAAGGGGCGGCCGGTGCGGGCGTAGGTGAAGGTGTGGATGGCGGCGAACAAAAAGTAAAAGGCTATGCCCCAGTAGGTGAGCGAGGTGAAGTAGCTGAATTGGGCTTGGGAGGCGCCGCAGTGGTTGGGCGAGTTGATGCACTGGTAGGCGAGGACGAAGATGAGGGTTGTGAAGGCGTAGAGGGACTATTAAATCGAAGTGGAATTGCGAGTCAGTTTGATCCATGCGTGTCCGGGATGGAAGCTGTAGATTTCGTGGGGAAAATGCTGGGGAAAACGTGGGAACTTAACGTACAATGAGCGCACGGCAAAAGAAGAGGGCCCAGGGAGATAGAATCCACGAGGTTTCGAACCGATGGGACGGATCCCAGAGGTCGGTGCCGAACTTGAAGGGATTGCGAGCCATGGGTTTGTTTTTTTTGGCGGCTGCGGCAGAGATGAGTAGGATCAGGCTAGAGGTGAAGCTTGCCTGCAGGTTAGGTTGCAGATCAGGTGCGGACGGTAGATGTAGAGAAGAAAGGAAGAAAAAAAAAAGAACGACAACGAAACACAAAACAAGAATGGCAACCTGGAACTCGGGGTCTTCGATTTGCAAGGCTGAGTGTAAAGACTCCGTGTCTTGGCGGGTTATGCGCACGAAGGAGCGAAGGAAGGAGCCAACAACTGCCGTGAGGTGGCAGGAAGTCTGTCTCGATCAGCTGGAACCACCAACGATAACGTAGCCCACAGCCCACAACCCACAGGCCACGCCGCCGTAGGGTAGGTAGCGTTTCTTGGGAGGTGGAAAAGGCCCATTTCTCCCGTCGGGGTTGCCCATGCCGATGACGTTCCTTTGTTCTCACGATAACGTCTGCTAGCGCTTCCTTTGCCCGGGGAATCATTTCGGATACAGCTGATGGTCAGCCTACATCTTCCTTGTCAGCATCGTAAGCCACCACTGTTGCGTTCAAGGTACAACGCTGCAATGAAAAGCAGTGCTGAGCGGTGTTGGACCTTATAGCAAAGCCCGAGTCGGGAGCTGACTGGTTGGAATGACTTGTCGAATGAATAAGGTAATATCGACGCCTCGTGGAAGCATATGTGCAGCGAGTAGCATCCAGTGACCAATGAATCAAGCTGGCACTAGACACAGATGGCTTCGTGGACGTGGTGGCTTGCTGATCATAACCACCGGGAGCGGGAGCGGGAGCGGAATTAGAGTTTGGGAGGTCATGATGCTTTCTCTGAGAGAGTTGGGACGATGGGAGAATGGTCAAGGTTGAAGTTCTCCATGAGGTCAAAGCTGGGGATCCCTTTCCATTTCACAAGATGCTCGCCGCACGCACAGACATAGCCGAGCAGAAGCGATTTATTACGGCTAATCGAGCAACACGTGCTGGAAAGGGGAAGCTGCAGATGGCCTGCAGGTTCCAATCCATGTATTGATTTTTTGGCCAGTTCAGGTCCGTGTGTGTGCAGAAAGGTCACATGTAGAGAGATAACCAGGCCGCTGAGTCAACATGTCCGTCTCTAGAGCAGCTATCGTCAGTTTTCTTCATGGTGTTGTAGATTTACCGTGAGACTCTGCAATTGTATGTACAATTAATGACCCCCTTTTATATATACATGGTTGATAGAGAAAAACGTGGACAAGGGACGTTGCTGGATATGTGGGGTTTCCGTTCCGTCTTAGCGATGGCACAGAGCAGCAGCTGCGTGCCAAGACCAACTAGCAGACGCCATGTCCCGCATCTGGATCTTTTCTTCTGGACTGTGATGAAGAAGAAGAAGAAGAAGAAGAAGGATCGTTTTTGCGCAGCCGAGGTGATGATGAGCAATCAGATATTCTTCTCACGACAAACCCCGTCTCTCCGTGGCCCCTCTCTTCGTCAATTGCTAGGTAGCTACCGTCCGCTCTGCGTTGGATCGGTTGTGGGCCGAAAACGGTTCATTTCAACGTCGGCTCGCATGACGGAATCCCTCCCAGTGGCACACAGGCCAGGGCCCGAGAGTGCAACCGGGTTTTTTCCAGAGAAAATAAGAATTGCAATTTACGGAGATGGACGGTACGGTGCGCAAACGAGCCAGATCCAGGTTTTCCCCTGCCACTTCCCCACGAGAAGCCAAGTCGAGGCCTTTACATATCAGCGAGGAATTGAAATGACAAATGGGGACTGTACGGAGAAATAGTCAACAATGGGGGAAGATGAGATGGCATCGCAGGGGCCCTCGATGGCGCCCGTGGGTAGCGTCGGGGTGAGTGTGTGTGCCACGCCGGTGCAGGGCACGCCTGGTCTCCCAGTCAGGAACCAGAAGCACTGAGTAAATGCGCCGCCTGTCAATAGTGCGCGAGTGGAGCGGAACGCAACGCTGAGTTTGCTGTTCTTCCTCTCTCGAAAACCGCCCTGTCGGTGGTCTTCTTTTCTCTTTGCTTTCTCCATCATTATCTCTCCGTTTCTCTTCTTGTCTACCGGAGGACGGTGGTGTTTTCTCTTTGGGTATTTCTCATCATCCAGGCAATTTTCATCCATCCCCACCTGGAAGTTCACGATAACGACAGCAGACACACCCCCGTGCTGAGCAAACAGGAAACATTGGACTTTGTTTCAACCCCTGGGCCCCCCCCCTAGAAACGAAGAGCGCGCCTGGATCAGCATCGTGCGACACCCTTCCCCGGACCGAGCCTGGTATCACGAGAAAGCTCTCTGCTGGCGAGTGTTTGACAGTCTGCCCGTGCAGCTCGTCGACGGAATTTTGGATCATTCGGCGCTCGCTTCCGTCGCCAGCCTGGTGAGAGTCACCGCCCGACATCCCTCCTCACCGTCTTCCCACCGCCGCCGCGCTCTTGGGGTCCATCCAGAACCAATTATGTTTCATCTCGAGGGATATCCATGACAAGCAGTTGTTTACCTACCTGTATCTGACCCGGCTACCGGTTTCAATCTTTATCGACCGCTGTTCTTTTTTGTTTCTCCATTTCAGACGTGTGGTGGTGTCTCTGTTGCGCTGCCAAAATCCATCGTCGCACCGCGTCCCGCCATCAAACTGCGGGCTCCCGTGGAACAGAACGCACAACATCCGGCCCCACCCGCGAACGAACCACACCGTCCCACCGTTCCTGCCGATCGCCGGGTTGATCGGCAGGCCAATGGTTGCCGAATCTTCGGGTCCGTCAAAGCTGTCAACAACGTATCGAAGCCGTCAGGGTCGGCCACCTAATCATGGCCTTCCCACGCCACCCATCATCGCGGATATCCGATGTGCAGCTACCAATAATGTTAATCGCCGATGACGACGACATCAGGGACATGGGGTCAGATCTCAAGCTGGATTCACGAGGGAGACCCGAGGAAAAGCCGCGGCCGGGACCCCCGGTGCCGTCTTCGTCCGCAGCATCATCAGCACCACAGCATCCGATCCCTTCCATGCAGGATGCCTTTGCCGAGTCTCTGGTCGAGGCCACCGAAGGTGAAAACTCGGGGAAGCCCAAGCTGAGGACTGGCGATGCCAAAGCTCGTCGTGAGGAGCTGCTCGATGGTGAGCACTCTGACCCTCACCCAGCAGCGTTGTGGCGGTTTCGACCTGGACAACAGGCACACGAGCTTCGGCGGTTGATGGCCCAGATCTCTTTTGGTGTCTATTTACTGCTCAACGGCATGGCCAACAGCCAGATTCTGGTTGTCTCCATCTTGCAAGGGCACATCGACGAGGTGGACGAGTTTCTGGAAACGACACTAGAGGATATGGATCTGGCCATGAAAGACGTGAAGCTCAGGATTGAGCACCTGCGGTTGCCCATGGACAATATTGATGTGTTTGAACGCATGCTGGAGGATCAGAACTACCGGATGACCATTTTGGAGGGCAACGAAAAGATTGAGCATATCCTGGCACGCACTCAGATTGCTCTCAAGCAAACCACGCAAGACCTGGCTGAAGGTCTTGCGGCGACCAGAGATTTTACCATTTATTTGGCCGAGCAGCACCACGGGCCATGGCGACAGGAGCGCCCTGATGTCATTGACATCTTCGATGCTATGAAGGGCAACACAGATGGCTGGTTCAACGCCTTTATGGATTTGCAGCACAAGGGTAGTTCACTGAACGCGTTGGTGGTGAGACTGGCTGGCATGGTCTCGGAGATGGACCGGAGAGCTGGCGAGGTCAGCCGCAGAGTCAGGTCGCAGCAGCTGAGTGCTGCCACTTACACATCTCCGAAGCACAGTCCCAAGCCATCAGATGCGTCTGCCACAACTATCACAACGCCCCCGACATCACCACCGAGGAAGATCCCCAACTCGCCTCCCCGGTTGTCTTTACGCCTGAGCACGATCAATGCGCTTACAGCATCTAGACCGTCGTCATTCTTGAACTTTTCGCTACCCGAAGAACCTGAGCCTGCCCCGGAGGAACGGCCGGCCACTCCCCCGCAAGCACCTGTGCCGACCATTCAGGAGGAAACAGAGACCAAAGATACTCCGCTGTCGCCTCCCAAATCACTACCCCAGTCATCATCACCGCCCCCTCAATCACCCCCGCAACTTTTAACCTCTGCAGTTTATCAGCCACCTACACGAGCACAACCACCGCGACCAAAACCATCACCGCAACCGCAAGCACCAGCCGAATCACCTCCCGAGTCGCCGCCACCGCCTGCTCGAAATCCTCGACGGCTTTCTGAACGACCCAATGTTCTGCTCGAGGCTCCAAAATTGGAAGTGCACAAGGAGGAGGAAAACCGAGCTGAGGAGAGCACTCTGTATCTCTTACAGCCCACAGTTTACACCCCTCAGCCATCACCGCGACCATCACCTCGTCCTTCCCCACGACCATCCCCCCAGCCTTCGCCCAGGATCGTTGCTGAGCGTCCCAAGCCAAGAGAGAATGTCCCTAGTGCCAAGCTCGACTTTCCCTCACCGGCCGACTCGATCCCTAAGCCAGGGACTGCCTCTCCCAAGCCCCGTGAGCAAACCCACAGGCCACAGACGTCCAGGGCCCAGATTGTTGAATCTCCCCGAGCAAGGATCGTGGAGAACCCGAGGCCGAAGGTGGTCGAAATCCCCAAGCCCAAGGTGATTGAAGTGCGAGGCCCAAAGGTTGTCGAGATTGGAGCGAGGAATCGAGCGGCGGCCCCCAAGCGAGATGTTCTCCCCGACTCTAGATATGAGCCGAGGCCATCTTCCACCAGAACCGACTCCTTCCAAACAACCTCTACCAGGAGGACGGATTCTTTCGGGACGGATTCTCTCGGATCCGATTCCATGCGAACGGAATCTCTTCGTGACCCAGGGAACGCACCAGAGGTTGTTCCAGACGCAGATCTTGAGGTGGATATGTACCCCACAAACAACAACCGCACCTCTCTCCGGGATCGCATCTCCCTGAAGATGAACCCCCCAGGGTCCATCCACGTGCCCCCACCTGACACCCACCACCATGCCGTTCAGCAACACCAAAACTACTCAACCTCCGCCCGAGTGGCCTACCACAACCACCTCCAGCAACAAAACAGCTACCAAACCTTCCAAGCCCCAGATTCAGCCTACGGCTCCGGCTCGGACATGGAACGTCCTCCCGTAAACTCCATAACCTCCATCTCCTCCTCCCTAGCCGACTTTTCTCCGCCGCCATCCTTCATCGCCCCGGGCCTCATCCCTTCCCCGCACTCAGACAGGCAGTTTTTCCGTCCCGTCCAAGCAAACCCTTACTCCCCTCTCCAGCAACGCCCACACACCTCCGGTACCGTCGGCGGAGTGCAGCAGTTCAACTTCCCGCACCCGCCGATCCCCTCAAGGAATATCCCATCCGCGATGGGCATGTCAGTGATGAGCAACGGGACAACAATGACGACCGAAACAGCCAACTCGAAGGGGGGAGCGGGGCTGAAGAAGAAGAGGAGCGCGTTTGGGTGGTTAAAGAAGGCGTTCAGTCTGGACGAGGAGGAGAGGGCGGCTTTTGAGCAGAGGAGGCGGGAGCAGATGGGGAACGATCCGTATGCGGGACAGGCGCAGAACAACCCCAAGTTTTTGGACGGGAGGAGGATTGATAGGCCGGCGAATGGGTATGCGCCCAGTCAGTATAGTAGGCAGGGGTATTAGGAGGCATTAGGGGATGGGGTGGTGTGTATTGATAGAGAGTTTTTGACTTGATCTTTTTTGGATGGGAGAGAAGAAAGGATGGATAAGGAACAAAATCTTTGCATAGGTAGCGAGCGGAGCATATCGGCATACATAGTTTTGCTCTCATGTAACTGTAATTATTAGTTTGGGTTTGGCGGTGGGAATACACTGTGAGTTGAATATTTCACTTTAATTAATTAGTTACCTGGCTGGCTTACTTGTTCCCAATGCCTGGTCGTCCCAAGTTCCGTCACAGGGGGTCAGACCCCACACACAGTGTTCAACACAGTGTCCACCCCGTCGCAGATTGTCTGAACCGTTTTTTTCGGTAACCTTTCGACGTCAAATTCCAAACCCTTCCAAAATTTGCCCCGTTCATTTTCCTCCCAACCTTCAACATGCATAAAATCTGTCGTTAGTCAACCAACACGACGACAACAAACCACGCCGCCCACCATGTCATCCCAACCACCAAAAGACCACCTCACCACCCTCTCCACCCACATAACCACCCTCACCCAAAAAGTCACCCAACTCCGCGCCTCCCTCTCCCACTGGCAGCAATGGTACCTCGAATACTCGTCCCTCAAAGAAGAAATCTCCCTCCTCCCCTCGACCACCCCCACCCCAGTTGAATCCCTCCGCCGCATCCGCCGCGACTTCTCGGGCAAGGTCCTCACCCAAAAGGAAATCAACGAGATAATGGGAAAGACTGATTTTCGAGAGGTGGATCAAATGCTCAGCTTGTTGACTCACAGGATTGATTACGTAGAGGGGAACATCAATACTGTGGGCAAAATGCTAGAGCAGGAGGAGAATCGACTGGCGGCGGCGGAGGTGGTGGCGAGCCCGGATGTGCCGAGGGATGAGGAGAGTGGGTTGCCGATTATGGATATTGTTGAGTGGTTGGATGAGGAGGGAAATGTGGTTGATGCGGGGGTGCGGAGTGGGGGGGAGGCGGCGGGGAGGTTGATGGAGGTTTTTGAGAAGGCGGGGGGGATGTTGGCGGAGACGGAGGAGGAGGGGGGGAGGGCGAGGGGGGAGGTTGAGAGGGGGGTTGAGGAGGGGAAGGAGAAGAAGGAGCAAGAGAAGAAGAAGGCCACGCCAAAGGCTGTCGAGCGAAAGGGTGAACCGAAGGAGGTGGTGGCCAATGGGGAGTCGATGGTCGCCAAAAAGACGGTTACCTTTGCTGAGGGTACGAAGCTTGGACATGCGGAAGGGGAAAGGTTGGAGAAGACGTTTGCGCAGCAGCAATTGGAGCACGTCATCAAGATTGCTCAGGAGTCGCAGGCCATGGATATGTCCAAGGCTGTTGTTCCGGAGGATGAGCCGGAGGAGGATGCCAAGCTGCGGCGGGAGATGCTCGAGTATAGCATGTCGGAAATCGGTCCTGTAGTCGCTGAACTCACCTTGGAAGAGGGCGAGTTTAGTGATGACGAGGACTGGGATATGGATGATGATGAGGAAGACGATGACGAGGACGATTTGGGGAGATCCAAGCACAGCGTTTTGTCTTCTGACTACATCCAACGCATGCAGGAGCTCGAAAAGAAACTCGGAGTGAAATCTGCGTTTAGCGCTCCTGTTCAGCAAGAACGAACGGTACCTGATGAGGGTATGGGGAGGATCTCGGTCGTCAAGGAATCGGCACCCAAGGCAACGACGAAGACTCCCAAGGAGAAGGCGAAAGCACCCAAGGAGGAGAAGAGCGTCAGCTTTGCGATAGAGCTGGATATTGCTCCTACTACCACCACCACCCGGCCAGATGCACCGGCAGCCCCCAGTATCAATCCCGTCGTCGACATTGTGGAAAAGGTCACAGATTTGACCATGCAAGACGACGAACCAGAGGAACCACCCAAGCGTGTCTCGCGCTTCAAGAAAGAGCGCGCCACCGGTGGCCTCCCACCAGGGCCACACCAGCTGCCTGCAACGTTTATCCATAAAGCTGCCGCACCGCCACCCGAGCCGACACCGCCAGAGGATACAACCATTGCTCCCACCGTTGTCGAGAGACCCACCCCCGCTACAGCCGCCGAACCAGATGACATGGACGAGGCGATGTTGTATCAAGCCGCTGCGGTGGAGTATAACCGCATGAGGAACCAGCTGATCCAAAAGCAGGGAGGGTTTATTGAGGACCCGCCGCTGAATGAGGACGGGTTGATTGCGAATAATGACGGGCCGAAGAAGCTGAGCAGGTTTAAGCAGGCGAGGTTGAACAAGATACAGTAATGGTGAGGCCATAGGGTCGATGGTTTAGAAATCGAACTATTGCATCTCATTTTTTTCTCTTTTTTTTGGTTTGTTTTTTCCGTTTTTTTTTTCCTGTGATATGTATGGTGTATCACGGTTTTCCATCCCTTTCTGGCATGACATAACTCTTTGCAGTGACCACCTATCTTCCACGGAACGCTTTCAATCTGACAATTGATGGTTTGCAGCATCTTCAATCTGCTTATCATTACTAGCGATTCCAAGATCAGATCAAGAGGAGCTCTCTGACGCCTTGACCAGTTGCTTCTTTGGTGACTTGAAAATCAGCTGTCTTGAGCGATTCGTTTCACTCCTCACATTTTTTCCCCCCCAATCTTGATCCCATATTGACCGTATTCGAAAACTTTCAGCAGCAGAGGTAAAATATGATCTCCAGCCAGCTTTCATGAATTTTCATGACCAAAATAGAACTCAATTGAACCTCCCATTGTATAAAATTATTTCATAAAATTCGTGATGTCACTCACCCCTTCCAACATTGGTTTTTGGTAACATTCCCCCCCCCCCCCCTTCTTATTGAATCTTGGCATTACTAAAATCCATCTCAGGATGCTGCTCCTGAAACTTTTTGAGAATCTCCATCTTCTTTTGCTCGTCACTCGTCGGCAGCCCTTGTTCTTTCTGCCGCTGGTCATACATCATTTTCTCCACCAGACCCCTCGTCTCCCCGTCCAGGTCTGAGAGTTTGGAGTTATCGGGAACAATCTTTGTGACGTCGATCTTGGGGGCGGTGGTGACAACGTGAGCCCACCACTCTTGCTTGTTAACCTTGTCGAGGAGGATCTCGACTGTTTTGGAGCTGTTGTCTGGGGATGTTGTGATTGTCCAGGTGGAGTCGTCGACGTGGATGGGGTGGGGGAATTGACCCGAGACGATGGGGGTTTGACCTTTTATGCCGGCGGAAATGGTGGTTTTGGTGAGGGAGATGGAGAGGTCGCGGGCCTTGAGGGAGGCGGGGATGGGGAAGGTGAGGGTTAGGTCGGGGAGGGTTTGGGTCCAGGTGTAGGGGAGGGAGGCTTGTTCGGCTTTTTCGCGGGCGAGCGCGGCGGCTTCGGTGGTGGCGTCTAGAGGCGGGGGGGGGGGGTTGTTAGATGGGCGGAATGAGGGGGAAGGGGGGTTAACACGTACCGGTGTCGGCCATTTTGAAGGGGTTTGACTGTAGTGTTGTTGGTGGTGATAGTTGGGAATGGTGAGAAAGGGGGATTGTTGATATGGGAGTTTGGAAACTGACAATAGAAAGCGATGGAACACTGGCTGGCCGCTGAGCTCATGGTGGGGGCAAAAGGGAGCTCTTTGGAAAGCTTGGGGACCCCGCACTTCCCAGGTGAAAGGTACCCCACATGGCGGGCCCCACATATCCTACAGGGGGGTGGTTCGCGTTAAGTGGTGGCTTACCAACCTCAGCCTTGTCTTAATTCCGACTGTAGCCTTTTGCAAACGGTTTCGCGACCACAAACATCCCACTTCACCACCAGCACCACCACTCACCACCACAACAACAACTATCGTCCACCGGACATTTCAAACACACCAGACAGAAAAAGAAAAAAGAAAAAAAAATGCCCCCTCAACGCCCCCCCACCTCAGCCCCCCGCCCCGGAGGCGTCACAGCCGTCTCCTCCCTCGCCCCCGACGGCCTCCCCAAACCCGACAGCGACGACATGTGCCCCGTCTGCAAAACAATCCGCTACCTCAACCGCGACATGGAATTCCTCATCAACCCCGAATGCTACCACTCCATGTGCTCCTCCTGCGTCAACCGCCTCTTCAACGAAGGCCCCCAGCAATGCCCCTACGCCGGCTGCCACCGCACCCTCCGCCGCAAAGGCTTCCGCTCCCCCTTTTTTGGCGACCTTTCGGTAGAACGCGAAGTCGACATCCGGCGCAGGGTGAACCAAGTCTTCAACCAAGTCGAAGACGACTTCAACACGCTCCGTGACTACAACAACTACCTCCAAATGGTCGAAGACCTAACCTTTGACCTCGTCCACGGCGACGAACCCACCAAGCGGAAAGCAGAGGCCCAGCTCCAGCAGTGGGAGGCAGAGCATAAAACTGAGATTGAGAGGAATAGGCGCGCAGGCAAGGAACAGGATGAGCAGTCACGTCGGAGGCTAGCAGCGGAGCAGGCTGCCGCCCGACAGCGCAGACTTGACGCGATAAAGGAGGCGGAAGAGGAAAAGATGGAAAAGATCAAAATCAAGGAAATGGAGATTGATAGTCTGGAACGGGGACAACCCCTCCCGGATCAGCAACGGGTTCAGCTGAAACGGAGGGGGAACAAGGCTGTTGAAGCGGTTACCAACCTCGCCGCTGGGTCATCATCAACAGCGGACGCAGTGGGTAAACTTTCCATCCGGGGGCTCAAAGAAAAGAAGAAGGAGCCGAGGCCGGAGGGGCCGTATGACCCGTTTGGGGGGTTGGATCTCACTCCTAGTCGGTACAAGATTCACGGGGGGCTGTCGCATCCGAATGTGGAAAAGTACAGGTCGGACAAGGCGCATGTGACGGGGGGGTATAGCTTCGATGAGTACACCTCTAGGGCCATGTTTGAGGCGTTTGCTGGGTTGGGGGTGTTTATTGAGGACGAGAGAGACGTGGGGGTGGGACTGGTGGCGAGTGAGGTTGTGGGCATGGGGGCTGCGCTGGCTGCTGTTGGGGGGGATGGGCCGGGGTTGAAGATGGAGTTGGATTAGGGGGGGCTATCAATTTATTGGCCATTTGTTTGATATTGGGTGTGATTTATGGACATAGCGCTGGCGTTTTTGGAGGGAAGGCTTGGTAAGGTTTTAGATATTGGGACAAGATAGGTAGGTACAAAAAGGATATTACGCAGGGAAAGAAGGACATGATCAAAATAGACGACTCCTTGGTCTTATTATCTTGACCCACCGTGACGATGTTGGATATACAACAGCTCAAGGTCTGTGTTTCAAATGCCAAAAATGATATAAAATTAAAGTATACAATGAATCTTACTACTACCACTCACTACCCCCTCAAAACAACACCCCCTATACCATCTCAACCAACCCCCCACCACACCATGTCTTCCAAAAACAAACAAGCAACAATGGGGGGGGGGACTAAGGAAGAAACCCCCCCCCCAACCAAAAAAAAAGTGTCAACAGCCTATTTCACAAACGCCGCGCTTGAATGCTTCTTTGCCAAACGAATGTTATCTGTGCTCACGCTGGATGAATCCCAGCGCCGCCGCTCCTCCTAGCAAAAAAAGTAAACCTTTCTGCAGCCCCAAACCTCCCCCATATTCTCTGGCCTCCCTAACAAGTTTATATCACACACAAACCACCCCTCCCTCACTGCTGCTGCCACGGCGTCTGAGCCGCCGGCCTAGGAAACACAGGCACAGTCTCAACCTGATCCAACCCACCCCCAATAGCCTGCTGGTTATGCTGCCACCCCAGTCCCGTCTGATGATTCACAAAGGCTCCCTGCCTAAACGGATTCGTCGCCGTCGGCTGGGACAATATTCCACCCGCAGTGACAGGTCGCTGTTGCTGCTGAGTAGGTTGCGCTTGCTGAGCCTGTCCAAAGTTCTTGGCGAACGGGTTCGTACCCGTCGGCATGGGCTGCATTTGTTGTTGAGTGGGCTGCCGTGGCGCCTGGGATTGGAAAGGTGAGTTGGACGTTGGTGCAGCAAATGGCTGTGTCCCTTGCGGTGAGGAGCGAGCAAAGGGGTTGGTAGACTGGCTTGTCATGGGGCGTTGCTGAGGAGAAGCGACCTCCTGAACAGGTTGCTGCTGCGCAAAGGGTGAGCCTGTTTGTTGTTGGTTCATGAGCATGGACTGGCGGAAAGGGTTGGTGTTTTGTTGAGGCGCCTGAAGGCCTCCTTGGAAAGTGGGCGTGCCTGTCTGGAAATTCGCGACGGTATCCTGCTGTATCGGGGCGAGAGAACCGGGCTGGAAGCCAACCTGGGGTTGCGGAGAGAACCCGCCGAAGCCGACACCAGTAAAGGCCTGCTGTACTGGCTGCGCAGTTTGCTGTGGCGAAAATGCTGGCTGCCCCTGCTGTTGGAAGGGAACACCCGTCTGGAACTGGTGAACGGGAGAGGCGACAAATCCGTTCTGGGGAAATTGCTGTTGCTGCTGAAGAGGTTGTTGAGGTTGGAATGGGGCAGGGCCCCAAGGAGACATGCCCACCTGCATCTGCGTTTGTTGTTGTTGTTGTTGTTGTTGTAACTGAGGCTGTGCTTGTGCCTGCTGCGTCTGGCCTTGGACAGCCAGTGTCGTCTGGTTTTGTTCAATGGACTCAAAGAAGTCGATCAGATTGACGTCGGGTCCCTTTGCTGGTGCCGCAGCCTGAGAAGTCTGGGCTGGCTGAGAAGCAGGTGCGCTTGTGCTGGATGATGCTTTGGTCTCAAAGGCATCAAACTTGGGCAACTTCGAAGCTCCTGATGACCCGCCCTTGGATGACTTTTTGGCCTCAAGCTCGGCCAGGTACTGCCTCCGGTGAATCTCAAAATCGGGATCCTTCAGATACTCCTCGAGCTGGCGCCCGAGATTAACAGGGGCGTGCTTCAGCTTAGGAACCTCCACCCTGGTGTGATGCTCATACTGTCTGGCCGTGCTGAGATACTGTACAACGTAGTCAGTCTGCCTGGTAAATGTCCGGTAGATATCCATAGCTCTTTCGGCATCAGTCTTGGACAGCTCGAAGAAGTGACCGAGGATGTTGATCAGTCCCTGGTTCAGGGCTTGGAAAAGAGCCAGCAAGTCCAGGACAAGGAGCCGAAACACAGTGATGGTGATTTCATTTTCAGGCTCATTCTCCATCACCTATTGTGTGTCAGCATACAGTCGAGGGATGTTTTAGGCGATAAACTCACGTCGCATTTCAGCAAGGCCGTGAGTTGGTGCTGAACAATTTCCGTCTCCCGAAGCAAACCCTTGTCGATGGACAGTTTCTCCAGCCTCGAATCCTTTGACCGCACCCAGTCGACCTTTGTTTCTCGATATGCTCGCGCTCTTTCTGCAAGATAACTGTGGTAATGTCGTATGTTTCGCCCCTGAGTTTGCGCTGTATACGAAGGGACTGTCAGTGACCCGTCGGTATCTCGAGTGAATTGGGGAGGCCGGGGCTACCTACCATCAGAAAACATGCTGATAGCAATCATGTTCCGGTGTTTCGCAAGATACGCCAGGGTGACATCTGCCGAGCCCTCGCGGATCATGAGGTGGACAGTGATCAAACTCTTGAAGACGACGGTCCATGTTGAGTCGCGCAACCGGTGGTGGAGCGCCCGGAATACCTCGCCCACGCCCGCCTCGCCCGAATGTGTCGCAACTAGAATGTGCTCGATGTATTTTGTTTTCGGAGGCGCGGCCTGTGAGCGATACAGTTGGTCAGGCCCGGACAACGATAAAAACAAGCCGACAATTCTCGCGGGTACAAGGGGGGGGGGAGTCTACGGACCTTGATCTTGGTCGCGCCCTTGACGGACTTTTCAAAGGAGCTCGCCATGGCTGCTGGAGATGGGGATGTCGTCGAGCTGGCACGGGGCTACGCTGCTGCAAAAAGCGCCCTCCAAGCTCAATGTGTTGATGGCGTGTGATGGCTCGTGACAGGGACTTGGAGCGGGTGTCCAGTGATAGCGGAGATGGCCTGGGGGATGATGGTAAGATGGGGCAGGTCGGGCAGCGGACAGTCAACGGTTCCTAGGCGGCGAGGTGAGGTGACCTAAGCGTGCATTAGGGGCCGCAAGACGGGCAAGCTGGGAACGGTCTGCGGGCGAAGTTGATAGGTTGATAGGTTGATACTCTCTGCAATGCAGGACAGCAATTGTAACTGGGAAACCCACGTCAAAAGGAACCTGCCGTGCTGCCGTGTGTGGATGGGCAGTCGGGTAGGCGGGTCTCTCCCAGTGACATGGGTCAACGGGACGGAAATCGAGGGGCCGCCTTTGCGGGTTCCCGCTTGATTTCATGTATCCGAGACATGTGCAATTATATTTGTGTTCATTCATCCAAACATGATATTGTTGACAGGTAAACTAGTGCTACAGGCGTATTCGAACATGAAGACGATGTGGAACACTTGTCCCGGCAACATTCTCAAGATACAGTTCCGCTCGTGTCCGCGACCAACCTACTCACAACAAACTTGTCGCCAAGTGCATCATCTCCAAACATCAAGTGACAGTACACCACCAGGCAGAGTCTCCAAGCACCTTAACTTGGTGACTGGCCCCGTCGTGAATGCAACCCTATGCCCATCGAGGATGCCTTCAGCGATACGAAAGGTCGCAAAAACGACCAGAAACAAAGCCCCAGAGTCAAACCCTTCTCATTCAGTGTAATCAGAGATGCCGTTATTGCGTCCGATAAGTAACAAGGTCGGTGTGCCGAACGCTTATTTCATAATTCCAACTCCATCTCCCAACCAAACCACCTAAGCCCCGTGAGGGGGGAGTTTGGAAGTTTGAAGAAGCGGAAGCTTTATCATGTGGAACACGCTGGCTTTCATCATCTGGAGAAACAACTGTTAGCTGGTGATCTTTGCGGTAAAAATTGGTGGTGGTGGTGGGTGCTACTCACTTTGTATTGAATGAGAGGGTCATGAAGAAGAAAAGAGGAAAATTCCAAAATGGATCGAGCCGCAAAACTTTTGTAGGTCGCAGCCAGCTCTGCCAGAGGGCCCCACCACAGAGTGCTCGGGCCAAACATCAGCCGAGCAAGAGTGGGGCCTGCCGTTGCCTGCCGTTGCCTGCCGGCTGTCGGCAGGCTCGCAGCTCTGAAGCTCCCCCCATGAGACTGCTGCCAGTGAATTTGGTAGTGAATTGGCCCAAGTTCTGGTGTGCACAAGCTGCAACTTTCGACTTTCAATACAGAGCATGGCCCTCTCACGGCCTTCCATGAGACGTCTCACCAGCTTGAGACCCTCAAATCTCAGACCGTGCACCAGTTTTCTCCAGCCTCGACTCATCCGCCGGCCATCAGGTGTCTCGTGGGTACCTCAACGGTTCACTCATAGTGATATCACACAGCAGCTTCGGGAAGAATGGTCGAGCTATAGTATGGAGAGATATCTGTTCCAGCATTCATAGTTCCTCGGCTGATGTAGAATAAAGATCACTTTCCCCAGGCGTCCAGTGCCAACCAGTTTGTGAATGGCCAGACAGTCACAGTACATGGCTTTCTCTCCCAGAGAAGGATATCGTCCAAGAAGCTCATCTTTGCCAATGTGCAAGTCGACAATGGGCCGTCTATCCAGGTTGTATCCCACTCCGAGCCCGGTGATGAATCCAACCCTCCTCCCGGACACGAGGCCCATCTCGCTCTTAGGGCTCTGCCTCTCCACAGTCCAGTCGCAGTGACCGGAACTGTCGTATCTCAAAAAGGCGACCGAGACTTGTCTGCCTCCTCTCAAAGAGATATTCCTGGCTCGTTTCCCAAAGGCGTCACACATCTCGAGATTTCTCTGCAGAATATTCAGCCTCTTAATGCTTTCCCCAAGGATATCATCGTGTCCAAGGGGGTGCAGTTCCCGCCCTCGGCCCGGCACCTTCAGATCCGCTTCGATGAGGCTCTCCAGGCTCGTATTCGTGCACGCCCAAAGATCGGCCATGAACTGCGCAAGTCCCTCACCGATCTTAACTTTACCGAGGTGGAAACACCAATCCTCTTCAAGTCTACGCCTGAGGGGGCTCGCGAGTTCTTGGTTCCAACACGACGGGCTGGTTTAGCATACGCCCTTCCCCAGAGCCCTCAGCAGTACAAGCAGATTCTCATGTCCAGTGGTATCCGTGGGTACTACCAGTTTGCGAGATGCTTCCGTGACGAAGACCTCAGAGCCGACAGACAGCCCGAGTTTACCCAGGTGAATTTTGCAGACTTGACTTGACCACAACACCATCTAATGCCCCCTTGACAGTTGGATCTCGAAATGTCCTTCGCCACCGGCCAAGACGTCATGCGCACAGTCGAGTCTATCATGAAAGACCTCATGAAGTCCCTCAACTCCCAATTCGAACTCGTCCAATCCGACACCAAGGAGCGCTACCCCGTCCCCAGACGCACCCCCCCCTCCTCCGACCCATCCTCCAACCCCTGGCCTGTATCAGACAAACCCTTCCCCCGAATCACCTACGAAGAAGCCATGTCCCGCTTCGGCGTCGACAAGCCCGACACCCGCATCCCCTTTGAAATAACCCCCAACGTCCCCCTCCCCGAATCCTTCACCTCCATGATCTCCCCCCTCCCCTCCCCCACAATCGAAACCTTCCTCTTCACCCCGACCACCACCACCAGCACCTTCTCCTCCCCCTCCATCCGGGACACAACAACCTTCATCCACACCTTCCTCTCCCCCCTCCCCCCCGCCCTCTTCTCCCTCAACCCCAACGGGCAAACCGCCGCCCTAATAATCGACAACTCCAAACCCCTAAT